GAATCTGGAGAAATTTAGAGCTTACTGGTTTGTTTTTATAAAAAAGTGTCATGTCAGATGCCAAAATAATTCACATCAGAAATACACTTTTATGGAGCAAAGATTCTCAAGAACAAATACTTAGTCACAATGAAACCGTTTTCAGTGTGCATTAGCAAAAGAAACGCACTCACACAAAACCCTAAATGAAATATTCCCGGAGAGGAGATGAAGCCTAGATAAAATGAGGGAATAACTGAGCCAGACCAAAGAAACTGAGAAAAGATACAAGATGAATGTGACGCTGAATTTTTAAACAGTGATAAGAAAAGAGCTTGATCTTACTATTATACTATTTTGTTACAGTTCATTTTTTTCAGATTAAATTATACTATCTTCAAGATCAAACACTATTCTGGCAGATGTCTGGCTTACGGTTTCGAATATAATTTCAAGTTTCTACACTACTAATGCAGAAATCTAAGCATAGACTAGAGCCAAGTGTCTACCCACACCTCCGAGAGCAACACCACATTTCCAGTGCACTTCCCATTTTGTCATCTATTCCATGTAACAGCCAGCAATTCCAAACTGAAGTTGCTATTTTCAATAACTAAACAACCACAGAAAAATGAACTTTAAAAAAACTGACAATATGTTTCTGAGGACCACATCCATACATCCAGAGTGCAACAAGAAAACCTCCACGTTAAAACAGTACAACCATTCTTTTCTTCTCACTTTAAGCAACATGATGGAGGAAGTTCACCACAGAAAAAAGACTGAATTTTTATTTACGCTCTATCAACAATCTATGTTTATACTAAAGGCAAGCACATATTACAGGTAAAGAAATATCTGTTCCAGTACAAACCCATATGTATTTGGCCACTAAACCATTCACAAAGTTCCTCAAGTTATCCCACAGAAATTAAAAGAAACATGCATTCAAAACAAAAGCAAGACAGGAAAGAAAAAACATGAAACAGTGAAGTTGCTAAATCCCAGAATAACTCAGAAAAAACCTAGCCAAATTCTACTCTCAGCTCGACAGACATTAACCAGTCGTAATTTCACCTACTGGATTTATTCGTATCTACCACCACAGAATTTTGCCTAGCTCATCCAGTAATATGCCTTATATTAGAAATCTTGCATGGGGCGGGGGGGGGGGGGAGGGAGCACAAACAAAAAACCCTAACACAAATATGAACACACTAAGAGATAAGCACTAGACAAAAAAGAACAAAACTGGCTACTTAAGAAAAATTACTAAACCAGATGCAAATTATTCACACAAGCAAGGATATGCACAATCAGGCCCATACTAATTGAGTACAATAAACATATCGCCACTCATTAAAGATCTATCTGCCTGAATTTATCTCTGCTTTCTCTTCAGTTCTTATGAGTTATTCAATCACTTCCCAACATGTAGGAAAGGAAATATTGCACTATGAAGACAGAGCTATAATTAGATATTCCTGTATTTCATTTCACATATATGACTGAATGAGAATGGATGGGAAAAATATGAACAGTGATGATAATAGTATGTTGAAACACTCAGTAAGAAATATATTGGGCATAGAATAACATCTTAATTCTTCCTCAGCACATAATGCTGTGTTTACTGCAAGGTCAGTTAAGTTACTATAAGAGATTTTTAATGAAAACAATTATAAATTTAAAATAACTGTGTTTAAAGCATTTAACAGTCACTAAGGTCAAGTGATTACAGCAGTTACAAGACCCAAGGGACATGTTCACACCAAAACAAAGTGAATAAATTACCTCAGCCAGTGTATGTAATCACTAAGTGACCACAGAGGTTATTCGATGCATAAGCCCAGATGACTCTCATGCAAAACCAATAATGAAAATTTATCAGCCAAAAGGAAAAAAGCATAAGAACTAGTAAAAGTTGCAGGAAGGGCTGAGAGCTAGGAGGAGCAGGAAAGGGCATGGAGAGCATGTTCCGTGATTCAGCTGCGGAGACAGGGAAGAAGGATGAATGTTAATGACATGGATAGACAAGATGCTCAACATTTGGCTCAGATGAGATACTCAAAGAGCTGCAAAGGGATGCAAGACCCACAAAACAGAAAACTGCAGGGTTGACAGAAGTGCTCTCAGTCCTGTGTAACTGGCATGTGTAACACCCAGTGAAGTACAAGTGAGAATAATAATCTTCTAACTTTTCCCTTAGCTTTACTGCCAAGAAAATTATGGGTAGTTATTGTGTCTTAGTTATCCCATTATATAATCCTAGTGGAGATGAGGCCCTGTTTTTTTACCACGGAGTAGGTAAAATAAACCGCAGAATGAAGCCTAGCTTTGATCTCACTTCTCCCCCTCACGGTATAAATGATACAGAAGCCTTGTCTTCATTACTGTTTTACAACACGATTGCCAGCGGAGAAAGTGATGCAACAAAAGAAACGAAAACCCCTTTCTAGAAGGTCAACATTGTATTTGATGGGAGTTCTCAGTGCATTGCTCCGGAATAAGCTTCCTACCAACTATGATGAAAAAAGACACCTCCCACTATTCTGAAGAAAAAGGAATATCGCTTGTTCCTCCCTGCCACTGGTATGTATTATTTAAACTATTACATGTCATCACCTCACAACCCTGAAGGTATTAATCTTCAGAACACAGATAGTAAACAGTAAAATCTGATTACTCCCATTAAGCAGACAGAAGTCTGAAATAACAGTGGCAAAAGGGCATGCCTGACTTCATAGTGTTTTGATTCCAGATGAGAAGAGGACAATGCTGGAGCAAGTATTCACCAATGCAACATGATTCCACAGAGGAATCAATTTACTGCCTTACTTTATTCCAGAAAACTATTAACTGGTATTGTCATACATACGAAAATGTAAGTGGACTCTGTGCATGTTTGGGGGAAAAAAAAAAATTTTCTCTGCACCTGAAATATGAAAGCCTGAGGCCAAAGCCAGCATGTCCTCACACAGTCAAAGCTTCCAGTTTCAATGACACTGACTGCCAAAGAATGCAAAATCTGCTTTCTCAGGTAAATACCATATGGACTTCTACAAGAACTATATATATGCTAAGCAAGCCCCATGGTCAATTATTGAGGCTGGAACAAAACCTATTCAAAGGGTTATAACTCTTCTGCAGCAAATGTTAAACCAAGGATTTATGTGATAAAATAACATCATCGTGAAACACCTGTGAAATACAAGGAACGCCAAGTGGCTGCCAATACTGTAAGATTCCGCACACAAGGGTGAAAATACACTAGCAGCTTACTTGTTTTGGCTTTCTGCGATACTGAGTTAGCATTTTCAAATGCCAAGCACTGGCCATGGGCTCTGGCTGCATCAGAGCAATACTTCTGAAATGATTCAAAGAACTTTGGTAGTCAGACACCGCTCTTAGTAGTGCATTCAGGGTAGACTTTGGAGGTCTACGCTCTCCAGAAAGCAATTCCTTTTCTAGAGCTGCCTGGCATCTGTAACAACCGAGCCTGGTGGAACAGGAGTGCTGCCCAGCTTCTCTACAAGCACTGAAGCTCAGCAGGACCACACCGCCCACTCCCAGGGAAGCCTTGCAGCCTCCTACTGCCCTTACCTTGCTTCCTCCTCCTCCTTTGCAACACTGACGTTTACAGGTTATCACAAAGAACACTCAAAAGTTGAGGAAGATGGTTCCTACTGTGTCTCTTCCCTCAACCTATGTACATACCCACCCTTCTTCACCCAGTACTTCTCACCCCGCTTCTTACTTCCCAGTCCTGCGAATACGTTCCTAGAAAAAGGACAGTTTTGAGCCCATAAAATCTAGTACCGCTTTCTAGAAATAAGAATGATAAAACTAAATTACAGTAATATGGGAGTATCTGGAAGCCTTAATCCCACATGCACAGCAATAAAAAGAAGGAAAAACATTTTTCAAAATTGGGCTGTGGAAATCAAGAGGAGGTCAGTACAAAGATAAAAAGAACAGTATGGAGAAAATGCAAAAGAGGGTGAAAAGACAGAGAATGTGGATGCTCTTCTATTTAAAAATTCCTTTTGTAAATCCAAATGTTCTTTACTTCTCTCTTCAAGGGTCAGCCAAGGAACTCCAACTGAATAAAATGATGCTATTAAAGGCATGTAGAGATGTGGTCATTGTACAGCAGGCAAGAGAGTGCAGTGATGGACGTAAAGCCTTACGACAAAGCTATGCTTTCAAAGCTTTTTATATAATGTTGTAAATTCATTCTAACATTTCTTGAAGATCAGCTGCTCCAGTCACCTTCACTTCTGAGCATTTCTAGTGCATGTGGTGACATGGCAGGACACAGTCAGCCTACTAGTGGTATTTATAACAGGAGCATCCTGCACAAGTTCCCCTCCTTCATTTTGGTCTTCCACCGTTGTGATTTCCTTGCCTTCAACTGTAGCAACACTCTAGCAAGGCACCGCTATCAAATACAGAATATGAAAGGCGTTCTACTGAAGAGGCGTTGAGTCACTGCATTCAAAGTTAAAATGCCAGTACTCTAACTCAAAGGGGTAACCATGTGATTACCACCCCCAAAAATTTTTCCTCTTCCAAACAATATTATTGATTTTGCCATCCTATATTGTGGGAAGGATTTTCATCATTTCCAAATATGTTGTAGCTTTCATCATCGCTTTAAATTATGGTAAACCCAAAATACAGTGAGCAGTAGTTTTGGCCGTGGATATAAAACCCCACAGCGTCAACTAATGGGACACTGTATGCATTCATATGAGGTGCCATCACCCCCCTCAGCGCACTCATAAGGCTACACCGAATGACAGAATCTTTTCCCCCAAGATAATGCAGAAATACAGCAAAGTCTCTAAATTTGTCTTAATTAACAGAATCATACTGATGCTAGAAACAGCATATCACATGAGGACAAGTGAAGTAAAGGGGGGGGGAATTTTCAAGTGCTCTAATTCAATTAGGAGGCAGTGACTGACACTTGGACAGGAGAGGTTAATTGGGGTCACCAAAACGCAGTAATTCCTTACCTAACCAGTCATTAAACTTCTTAACCTCTGAGGGCAGTCCCAGTTCGGTGAAATCGCCCGTGTGGAGAAGGATGTCCCCATAAGGCATCTGGATGCCATCTGTTCTGGAGTGTGTGTCTGAGACGCAGACAAATCGCGTGTGGCCCGCTGGTTTTGGAGTGTCATATGGGATAGGGTCGACCCTAAAGCAGACACATAAAGATCTCGTAACAGTTACAAGGTTAAAACCCTCACATCTATTATTTCAGGTATCAACACAGATCTCTCTCTGCATAAGCGTGCATACACACACATACACACCCATTTACACACATCACGCTGAAAGAAACGATGCTGCAATGCAACACTGCCAAAAATCCAGAAGGGATCACAGTGCTTCTTAAATGCCTACCTGGTAAGGAAGAAAGATTAAAAAATACACAAGATGTAGCTACTTTCTGATACTAAAGTTAATTTAAGCATTGGAAAAAATGGATTTGAGAGACTTTCAATTCAGATATATTTTTTCCATCATCTCCCTTATACACGAACAGGTACACAGGCCATTAAATAACAGGTCTCACAGGTGGGCCGGCAACAGGCTCTCACTTGAGCTGAGCAGCTTAGCATCTGGTTCTGCTCAAGGGCACAGGCACTCCTACAGATTCCAGGAGGAACATTTGTTTACACACAATCAGGTACATTCAGGAGTGCTTTGATGAGGCCTGGAAATTGCAGAAATGAGTCTAATGACAACTTCTTACCCTCACACAAAATCCTGAGCTTATCTTCCCAATATCTATAAAGTCAGGAACTGATTTGGTACAGCATTAAGCAACCACAGTTAAAACATTTTTTTCTATAGTCAATGACTTTAAAAATGTAGTTCAACTGGTTATTTGCAACCTACATTTGTTAATTTGATCAGCCACTTTGATCATGGTTAGAGCTTAGCTTCAGCTAGAAATTTTGAGGTATTTAGAAGTTATGTCAGAATAATAGTCCACTTATGTCTCAAATCATCAGAGCAATGAAACCAAGCTCTAAGTATTTTAAAGCACCAAAATGACACTGTTCTGAGACTTATCAGGACAAACTGGCACAACAGACATTCAAAAACTCGTGCCTGAAAGTATAAAGAAAATTAAACAGGTTTTATTAGTTTTGCTCTCCACATTGAATGAAAAGAAAAACAAGTAACTAGCACACATCACTGTGAATGTTTTTCTTAAGTCCCCATAGTTATAATATGTATGATCACTAATAGAAAATACAGCACAAATCCTATGAAAATACAGACTTTTGAAGTACTCCTTTATTTACTGAACTGTATTTACTATTTTAGTAAACCAAATTAGTATTTAGTGTTCACTACACACTGAACTGATTGAAAACTTCCACCAGCGTCTTTAACTTCAGCTCCCTACATAGGTAACAAAGACCAAAAGCATCCTGCAGGGAGCAATTCAGCTCCCTACACTGGGGAGCTTATAGCGGTTCAAGAAATCAAACTCCATATGGATATGTACTGGACTTCAATGGAAAAACGTCCACGTGAATGCACTTACTAACAAGATTTTACTGAGTCTTTTATATTTGGTAGAATGTTTACTAACAGCTAAAATTTTTAGCATGGGCGGCAGGGGTGGAAAAGATATTATCTGTCAGACTCCATTTTCCTAGGTACCATAATTAAGTATTTCCAATCAAACTGTATTTACCATAACTGTGTCACATTTAGCTGCCATGGTCCACTGAATTAATTTGCAAAATTCAGGCACTACAAGATGACATTTACTTTAATACGGTCTTTACTTTAAAAACAGATTTTACTGCAGGTTGGACTGGATAGGAAGGGGCAGTCTGGTAGATAACTTTTTTTTTCAGTTTTGGTATTGCACCTCCCTCCTATTCCACCCAAAGCACCAGGTACAATTAGTTGAGCCATACAACTGGTTACCACTACAGAAAACCACTGCAAAAATCTGAACTCCGACAATCAATGGACTCTTCTTCTCTGCAAGGGTCAGAAATTAATAAGGTTATTATTACAGAGGAAAATTCATTTACCCATTTAAATCACACTGGCAAGCTGACCAGAACTGTAATTACAGGCCGTAGTGCTTTTGTATTTGGCATCTTCCTCCCAATTAGTGAAGGTAAGCCAAAACTTTTCTAATAGTATGTCACTCAGTAAACATGGGGGTCTCCAAATCAACATTTCCACACTTCCAAGTATATTTACTCCAGACAACACAAAAAAATGAACACCAGCTTTCATCACTACCACATACCTTGTTCAGATCATCTCTACTTGAGCTATGACCAGCACTGCCTGCCTCTGGGGAGTCCAATTTTGTTCTTACACAGCAGCTATGCTTTTGCTATTCTCTGCAGTTTGGTTCCAAACAAACCCTGTATTGCTTTAGGCAAGCCCTGTTACAGTATGACACCAAAAGCTGGTTTAAGATTTTTCTATTCAGGCAATGACTGACTTACAGAAAATGCTATAATCGAAATTCATTAAGTTCTTCACCCTTCTTTCTCCTTTTTACAAACACTATGATGTTGCCAAGTAACCTTTTTTCTACATCTCAGCTTAATTTCTTCTCTTATTCAGTAGTGCTTGCCTACTAAGTATTTGAAAGTGAGATACTGAGGGTCATTGTGTTCAGTCCATCAATTTATCTTACTCAAAATAGTCCTTCAATAGAAACTTAATAAAAGTGGTGTTATTGCCAGTCCTAAAGGCTCATGTTTTCTTTTCATCCACGGCTACAGTATGGCAAACAGTAATGCAAGATTTTTCTTTTTCACTACATCATGAGAAGACTGGCCTCTGAACTCGTGAGATCAGCTACCGCAGCAGGCTAGGTGCTACCCTTTCACAGCTTCTGGCAACACACGGCTTGCTAGCAGGCTTCCACCTGGGCTGTGAACCTCATCCATTCTTCTGGCGGTCTGCTCATCTCATGACCCAACATCTGGGGACTAGAGACTGGCATTTCTAAAAGCTCTGTAATACTTATGCATCTGACCCTTACTGCAATTCAACAGCAGATAAAATAATTATTTCAGCCCTGCCCACCACCAGTCTCTGCTGAATCAGAGCATATACCTAAGAAATTCAACATACTCTTAACCCTTTGTTCCAAACACAGTGCGTCCAGCAATTGTTGACGCTCTCCATCACCACCAACACGTTATTTTTTCAGTCTTCTTGAGCTGGCAGACTGAAACACTACAGATTATTTGATTGCTGCATTTGGAAAAGTAAGCTCATGGAAAGATGCAGTAAATCTTATTCTAGAACAATTTAAATGTTCATACATTAGGATTAATACAGCAATCAGGAAATGGAAAACTAACAGAATAGTCAAGTATCAAAACAAATGAGGACCTTTTTGCCCTAAGTTAGTAAATGATTTTGGGGATCTAACTTCCTTTACTGACAGATGTTAATAGGTACTTATCTATCCGAACATACCTTGCACCTTAGAAAATCAGGCACTTAAGTGTTTTTTCAAAAGTTTATGTAAGACCCAGCATGAAATCCTGTAAGGCAGTTGAGCAATGACTGCTTTCTAAGATCATGACAGTAATGTAAGAGCTGTCACATTTAATGCATTTATGACAACGCTTTAGGAATCAGAAGGGACAATGTAATCTTCATAGGACCTTGTTTATCAGATAATTACTTGGGCTTTACTAAACTGCCCTTACCGTCAGTTGTTCTCATTTAGCCTAAGAGTCCCTCAGGTACAAACCTCAAATTTACAGTTCCTCACACATTGCTGCAGCTGAATCAAACGACATCATCAACAAGGCTCCGATTTGGCTTGCCCAGCTAACACTAATCAGTATCTTCCTCCAGCCCCACGGTTACCATGGCACTTCCAAGACAGCGGGGCTGTGTGTGTAAGGATGCCGAGCGCTGCCCCTTGCCCTGCCGGCCGTGCACAGAGCAGCCCACGGCTCTCCTGGCTGGGCTGCACCTACGTGGAGCTGCACCCTGTCCTTCCTCGTCCATTGGACAGCAAATTTTGCCACGGCTTTACGCTTTAAAAGCAGAGATTAAGTTTATCAAGGCAATTTTGACAGCGAGGTAGGAGGGCTGAATTCAGAAACTCAGAGAGGAGGAAAACACTGGGCCTTTCACACGCACGGAGGGAAAGGACTTGATTTAGGACGTCACACTATGGAACAGACATTTTAGCTGTGTATTTCGGCCCAAGCTCACACTAATTACTCATTATGATGTCTTATAAATCAGCAGCGTTAGAAAGTACCTCCAGGATAGAAAGGGCACTGCAGCCCTCCAAGAGACATAGCTGCAGGCAGAACTACACTGGGACCCTGTTTTCAAAGAAAATTTAGAAAAGACACAAGCACCGTTTTTCTGAAAGAAATAAAAGTTTTGATTGCAAAGGGTAATTCTGTATGGGTGAGTTCGAATGCTGAAAACACAGGGCTCCGGCTGGGTTAGCCAGTCCCAGGGAACGCCTGAACTTACAGAGCTGAACCCGCAGCCTTTTCACTTCCCGGCTCTCTTGGGTTTTGAGATATGCAGACCCCAAATCCCCTCTCATAGAACAATTCCCAAGAAACCAATTCATCCATGAAGACGGAATAAAAATCTTAAACATTAAGCCATGAAGAATTTCCAGTTCCTAACATTGAATAAATCACTCAGATGAATGCAGCACCTATGCCGGACAAAACATTTACAGATGCTGAAAATCCTTCCCCCCACCCCAAACCCTGCAACTCAAACCAGCACTATTACTGCTTACACTCCGCTACTTTTTAAGCTGGTTCTGTTGGCTTTGCTAGAGGCTAACAAGCCAGCAGTCAGTGCTGAAGACCACG